AATTAAGACCATATAAAGCATTAGATAGCATCCCATGCCCGTAAACACAGACCTTAGAACAGTACCGCATAAAGAAATGAAACCAGAGTGTGCCACAGACAGCAAATAAGAGAGCTGAGTGTCACCCACCTCTGACTCCCTGGCAGGAAACCAGTTAGGCACAGGACAGGTACAGAGTCTGGACCAACAACTCCTCCCTCACCCTGGAGAGAAAAGCAAACACATCCCCAAGGGTCTTCCATCAGCACTGTGACCAAGTGCCAGCCAGTTCCCAGCCTCAAGCATCATGACCCATATGGTCGCCGCGCAAAACAAGTCACATCAGCCAGGCAACCGAGAGGGATCTCTGCATCTTCTCTAAAGAATTCCCCTCACCCAGCACGCACACTTCTGATGTTTAAGAAAAAGGCAAGACAAACCTAACTAAACAGAGGCCAACTTGTTCAGCGTGGTATTAAAAAATATCCCGTTTTTTGTGTTTATAGTATTGTATTTTTACAAGTTAGAATTTACACACTTAAACCAGAATAAAACTAAACATAATTCAGTGTTCTCACTCTGTTCTCCTTCTCATCCCCCTCCCCGAATACACAGCGGAGACTGTTGACTGTTACTGTCAGGTAAATTAAAGCACTCAAAATTTACTAGATCATTATTTCACTCTTTAAAATAGAGCAGCTTCCTGCTTGCGTTCAAAGTCAGATCCACAGACTTCAGGGGCTAAAATAAATGCTCTTTGCGTTTAGCACTGCTAATACAACTGAATAAGAGAGCTGCGTTGTTATTCTTTGGAAGCAGAAACGCTTGCCATGGCCCTGAATCACAGAGGCATATAGGAGCTTAAGTCCCACTCGGGTCAGTAGGGCTTGGTCTCCCAAATACCTGTGTGAATCTAAGCATAAGATCAGTCTCATTAAGCAAAAAATCCGTTAAAATAGTTCGGTCCTGCTGCAAACAGTGGAGTACTGTAGGCAGCACTGAGAGGAGAAGCTGGTCTGCAGAGTTTTTATCACAACTGATCGTGCACAAAAAGTAAACATAGGCATCAGGAGATTTTGCAGGACTAGTAATTAAAAGGGAAGGGAGGTCACGGTGCGAGGAAGCCACACGCACCCAGGTCAGCAGAGCCTGCCAGCCTTTCCTCTGCACCAGTGCTTTCAAGGCTCCCAGGTGACGGCTGGCTGGGCAAGGAGCCATGCAGCCCAGTGATAGTCCCTATCTCTCAGAGAGGCTATAGCCCCTGCTCTGTAAGGTCAGTATATTTAATTTCAATCATCAAATTGGAAACAGATGATAATATCATTTGTAGAGTCTCTTTTCAGAGCAGATGCACAGATGTAGTTCACGGCTAGTAATGATCTTCTAACAGTATGATTCTAGCCTGTAGTCTGCAGATATTTAGGAGTCAATGGATTATTTTGAAGGAAGTGGCTAGAAAACACGAAATCTAAGTCTGCACCTCCACTGAAAGCATTTCAGTGCTCCAGAAGGCATATGAAAATGAAGTGGCTTTATTCCTAACACCACCTGAAACTACAGTAAGAGCATAGTATCGGTGCTCACGCTGAAAGATCTTTCTTCTTATAAACATGAGCAACTCAGAGCTAAATTAGGAGGATGAATTATAGATGGGAAATGGGAATCCGAAATGGATGGTCTTTTCTGGTTACAGACACTGGAGACTGAAAATTCCCTGTGTTCTAATTATAAATCAAACTTAGATGTGGTCAAACAGAATATTATGTTAATGACATGAATAATGAACACTATTCCCAAGACTTGCTCGTATTTCTTGGAAAAATGGCTACTCACCAACTGGTGTTCTTTGTCTGCTGGGGAACCCATAAAATGAAAACAAAAGACTCTCCGCAGTTTTCAGGAAAAATTACAGACACTGTTGTCTCTTGTGGTCTTGAACTAACCCTCAGTAGGGGATATCTCAGAGACCTACTATTCACTATCTCTATCTTAGCTCAACAAAAGCAAATCTTAAGCATAATCTGCTCAAAAGAAAACACAGATGAAGATTGTTGAAATCCGTTTTTAAGCATCTATGATTTTAATGTTTGTATGGGTTTATGCTACATTCTGACCATCAGCATAAATTCAGAGGCAGTGGAGGTGGTCTGGGCTTACCCCGTGTAAGTGAAATCAGAACGTTGTAGACAAAAGCATTCATTTTCTAAATATCTAGGTGTAGAATGGAGAATATAGAAACTTGCAAGTTGGCCCGTTCCTTGAAAGCGTTGTATTATGTTCTACCTGCAGAATGGAAACGTACTGTGCAGCAGGATACGATGCCCGAGCCTACACTGTCCTTCTCCTGTGCATGTACCACAGCTGTGCTGCCCACGATGCCCAGGTAATGTATATTAATGACACACGGTCCTTTCTGAAGTAGCTATTTACTACACTGAGTAACAGCAATCAGGAAACGCCTGTGCTGGAAAACTTCTGTGAAGTAAACATCCTTCTATACCCACTTAGGTCATGAGACAGGCTTGTTGTATATATAATACTATGTAATACTATTGTTATAGTATTTTCTATGGTGGTTTCTTTTTAGGAAATCAGAAGTATAGATTCTGAAAAGGATCAGCTAGGTCACTAAGGCCAAACCCTTCCATCCAGGCAGAAGGTAGCAGAATTTCGTTCACAGGGGTCCATGGAGCATCCCCTCCTCACTCCTTCCCTTATCTCTGAACTCCGTCACAATAAACACCCTGTCCCACAACCTTCCCACATTTTCTACTTGGTGCTTTTCATAAGAGCAGGCTAAAATGCATAGTTATTTGCGGCGGTTCTCTGTTAATACGTAATTCTAAATTGCTGTGGCAAACGTGCATTTGTATAATATCGCTATACAACCAGTCTGGTAACATTTGCCTTTTACCTCTCATATCCAGGCATAGCTTCATAATTAGCGGGGACCGTTGTAAATCATAGAAGCAGTGCTGTGGAAGTTTATGGCTATATAAATCCAATTGGATACTGTATAGTAAATTCCTCCAGACTGTACATTTATTATATGCTCATTATTAAGAACCACTGTATGAAAGAGACTAGGCAGGATCTTTCATAAGGCTGTTACAACATTCCCGACATGGCCTAATGGCTGGGAGATCTGACTGGGGCTTTTCCCTAAATGTCTGTCTTAGTGGTACCCCTCATTTCCACTTATAAAAGAGTATTCATGCAGCATCATAGAAAGGGTATTTATTTGACTCGCTCCAGAGAGAGTTTCATTGTGTGAGGAAAACAGCTGCTCCCTGACCAAAACCTGTGAGCAGAGGGTGGAGGGACCCGAGTGCGA